TAATTAAAGAGAGTAAAGAGATTAAAGACATAATTGAGATGTGCAATGGATTTATTTATACCTTTAAAAATTGATAAAACAATCATTGACGAGGATGTATATCGCGCAAAAAGACAAGCAAAGATCAAAAAAAAAAAGCCACTCGATCATTTGAAGAATAATTACAAAGGAAATTTTAAGCTGAAATCTTGGGACAGAATATACGTTAGAATTAATGAATATATCTCCAAATCAATTATGAAAGATGACCAATATGATGCTATTTTTAATGAAATGGCAATGCTCATTCGTATGGAGGTACCATCGATGATCTTAATTGAAAAAACTGTTCACGTAGAACCGTCCAAGAAATCCGAATCTTCGGGATAGTGGTGTCAAATACTTTAGTCAAAAGAATTTATTTTATTAAAGGTTTCGATCGAAATAGTGGCCTTTCATTAAAGTGCTTTGCATTTAATGAATTTTGAGACATAGAAACCATTCTCAAATTAATATGATTTTCTTTTTGAATTATGTTGTTATGAATAGAATTAATTGTGAACTTAATGCAAAAATTACAAAAAATTATATAAATTTAGTGTTTCGTTCGTTAAAGTTGTTTTTAATACGGTGTAGAATCTACCAACATTTGTTTTTCGTATATCGTGTGGAAAAGAAAAAAATTGTTTATACTAGTATATTTTTTAAATACTGTATGTATATACTGTATTTTTATCACATTAACATTTTTTACTATGTATAAATTCAAAGATTCCAAAATGGTTTTTTAAGATCCAAAAATAGACAAGACTTTTACTACGTAGTAACAACGCCAAAGCTTTATTTATTAGAATAATAGTTAAGTGCTGCTATTTACTTTTACAAAATTTTTGCTTTTTTCTTTTTTATTATAATAGTTTGAAATTTTGTATTTATGCTCAACAAGATCTTAGTTTCAAAGATCTTGAAGTAGTTTTTTAAAATTCTAGAAGCAAAACCTTTACTAATAACTATATTGAAGATTTGAATATAAAAATAATTTATTTTTAAAAAAATTTAGATACATTTGTGCAATAACTATTAATATGTATAAATCAAAATATATAGTAGTTTACACTATATATTGCTATATTAATATTTAATTAATATTTTTAAAATTTTTATTATTTAACTTTGTGTAACTACCAAGTGTAATACAAATATATTCAACCAATGGATTCCTTGGTATTAGTTTTATTATATAGTATAGTTTTTATAGGTTTCTATTTAAACTAATAGTTAATAAGTAATAAAGTTTTGTTAGTTAGTTTTATTAGTTAGTCTTGTTAGTTAGTTTTATTAGCTAGTTCTGTTGGCTAGTCTTACTGGTTAGTCTCATTGGTTAGTTCTATTGGCTAGTCCTATTGGTTAGACTTATTGGCTAGTTTTATTGGTATAATAATACAAAATACAAACTATAATTAGTAATTATATAAAATTTTAAAAGATATATAAACTTTGTCTTTTTTTCTAAAACAAATTAGATTTTGTCTTCTATTTTTTTTTACTATTTTTTTTTTATATAAAAAAATTAATAAAATTAATAAATTAAAAAAAAATTTGTTTTAAAATTATTTT